TGAGCTTGCAGCCGAAATTTCTGGAGTCCAAACGGCATGAGCCGCGTAGCGGCGGCATAAAAAAATTTGCTTCCTGTGTAATAGAGTCTTACTCGGCTGCTGTCAGAGCATATCAGGGTTGTATAAGATACAACGAGGGGAGAGTAAGGGGGGGGGGGAGGGGGTAATATTTTGCCATGAGAAACTTATTTCCTGCGTATCGATTTTTCGACTTTTCTCGCGCGCTTTTTTTATTCTTGGGAGTATTTTATGGGGGAAGAGGGTCGTATTTGTTCGAAGGGGGTTCTGCTGGCGTAAAGAGAAATCTTTCCGAGATACGAAGAGATTTTTCGGTGGCTGCCGGTTTGTCCCATTTCCTGGCTTGCTATACCACTCTTCCCACCCCTCCGCCTTTCATTGGAGGCGCACGAAACGAATATACAAGTTTTGTTATTGATAGATAATTTTTTTACTGTCCAAAAGGTAGAACCTTCCCCTGCTTTCTACTTTATAAAGGGCACAGGGCGATAGCTGCCCCAGTGTGTGACATTTTCGCTTTCTCTCAGTTTAGCTGGCGGATGGACCTACGGTGTATGGGCACGGGGTTAAAAATGATAAATACTAAAAAAATTTATTTGAAGCCGCTTCTCTTTTTTTCACGTGAGCTACACGGTGACAGACGGGCGGGTCCGCAGTGTGTTAGACAGTCACTCCGCTCAGTGGTTATATCAGGTCATGAGGTTGATTTTTCAGGGAACTTGTAAAAGTTCTCTAGCGCTAGGTCTCTTATCCAAAAAAATGTTTGCAAAATCCTATTTAATTACCGATTTGGAATTTTTTTGTTCTAGATGGTCCCATTACGGTGTATCCCGAAGTTCGGATCGATCTTCCTTGGCCGTCGCCAGCATATGCACCAGTACCCTCTGTTCATTTTATTTGAACAGTTCTGCAAATTTTTCCAAAGTTGATTCCATTTTACAGTCTCTGGTTGGCTCGCCTGTTCTGCCGCGACATACTGCTGCACAGGACCGTCCATCAGCTGTGCTGGATCGGTACCATGTGTCTCCGCTTATGAACAGGTGAAGCACATCTTCGGACATCCCTTTGACGGTTTTTAGCTTTTGAAGCGTCTGGTCATACAATCCTATTTCCTTAGTTATACATTTTATTACAGACGAGCTCCTTTACGGCCGGCAGGTCCGGGCATCAATGTGGATAGGCTGAACGTTAATAGTCTCACGGGTATTCTTTTTGTACAGGTAAGCTGCGAAACAATACAACCCCTCCAACCAACTAAAATTTTGCTGATGGGATTCAAGAGTTTTCCCGAAGTTGACTCCTTTCAGGTATTAGAGGGACGCGGGTTGAAGATCCCAGAAAAGCAAAAGGCTGTCACCGAAGGAAATGTATTGTGTATTGGAGGTGGACGAACAACATCGGTGAGTTGCATTTGATATCTTCGCAATCAGTCGAGCAGTATTAAGTGTAATGGGTCCACCCGCGGCGTTTTCACCACTGGTTTTTTTCTGTCTTGAAGATCGGCCGCTAATTATTGATCAACGCGACTCAGTTGTTTGGGTGGCGCACTGTGCCTGATCCCATTTACCACTAGCCGATCAATCTAGTGGAAACGATGAATCCTGTAAAGCAGTGCCAAGCACGAGCTCGTTCACACTAAAAGAGTACAATTCTCAGCAAAGGTCAAGTTCATGTAACCCAAACGGGGACTAGCAAAAGAAACTGGGAGGGTGCAAAGTGAAGTGCTAAGTTTTTGCTTTACTCACTTCTAAGGCACATTATTACAGTGTAAAATAAATGAGTGCCCCTTGTAAGCCGATCAGCAGCCGCAAACGCAGCGTGCAGGTTCTTACACCCTCCTGACACAGGTCCCGCCGAAGGAAATCATAGAACATTCTTACGCCGACAAACTATTTTTATTCCCTATATGACCTCTTTCACTGAGCATTTTTTTGCAGAGCGCGAACCGGCGTGTCGACCGCCGAGCAACGTTTTCGGTGGCGCGAGACGTTTCACATTGACGTCTTCAATGCCACAGTTACACACTTCTTCGTCTACTCGTGGCATCCGCAGTTTAGGTAATTCAGCTTTCTTTGAAAGTCGTTGTTACTTGATCGATGTTGTTATCATGGAAGAAATATTTTTTTCAAGTCCCTAGCTCCAAAAAAATAGCTGATCCGTATTTTCAGGCATAAACTGTGCCACAAAGGCTCGCTGAAGCTGTTAGAAGCGTTCATTGTGGATCAACTTGAATGGTGACCGAATGTTTGCCTTGAATCTGGAACCACGTGGGCAGCTGATTGTACGGATAGGATTCCACGACATGCGAGCAGTGTTTCGGCGTACAGTCAATCCCAGGATGGACGGGTATTTCTTTGTGGTTTCCGCTTTTTGATCATATAGAACTTTTGGACTGTCTTTCCCTAGACCAATTTCCAATTGCTCTGTCATCAATTATAAGACTTGTGTACGTGAGCAGGTGGGGATAAGACCCAATATACTTTTTTCCTGTAGCTTCCACTCTAGAGATACTGAACCAAGGACCACCGTTACCTAACTTTTATGCGCTTCCTTCAGTTTCGAATTGTGTATCTTCTGGAAAACGGTTCTATGCTTGAAAATATGGTATAGGGTAGGGTAGTGGACTTTTTCTACAACGAATTTGCAGCAAACATCACGTAATTAGATTTTCATGAAAATTCAGTGATATTTTACGTTTTCACCAACTTAAAGAGGTTTTGAACAGCATGACATCTCGGAAAATTTCAGAGTTTTTGGTGTACCGCTTGGCCGGCTGCTGTCCCGTGAGCGACGAGACACACCCATCGCTCTAACCCGACTCATTCAAGAGATCGAGAGGAGGGGCGTGGATTGTAATGGTCTATACGTTTGTGAGTTTCTCTTGGATTACAGCTACTATTTTGGATTTTATTTCATTGCTCAGAAATACTGGCATTGCTGGTCCCACTTCTGTATAAGAAGCTTTGTTTAAAATTAGGGACGAGAGGATGTCACCGCTCAATATTGGGGTACTCATGAGGGTTCCCGAACAAACTCGCACCCTAGTCGCCGTACCCATCCGATGTCGTTTAACGGGTGCCAAATTGGTCTGGAAGGGGTGGGGGAGATTGGGGAAGACTGGGAAAGGTGAAAACGCGAACTTCCACGTCGTCTGACTACGCGAGTCTTTGTATAAGGCC